ATATAGCAAGACCCTGTCTCTACAGAAAAATACAAAAATTAGCCAAGTGTGTAGTCCCAGCTACTTAGGAAGCTTAGGTGGCAAAATCACCTAAGTCCAGGGAGGTCGAGGCTGCAGGAGCTGAGGTAGCACCATTGCACTCATCCTGGGTGACAGAGCAGGACCCTGTCTAAAAAACCAACTGCAAGGCTGGGCTCAGTGGCTCACACCTGTAATCCCAGAACTTTGGGAGGCCGAGCCACATGGATCATTGAGGTCAGGGCTTTGAGACCATCCTGGCCAACATGGTGAAACCCCATCTCTACTAAAAATACAAAAATTAGCTGGGCAAGGTGGTGCATGCCTGTAATCCCAGCTACTCGGGAGGCTGAGGCAGGAGAATCGCAAGAACCTGGGATGCAGAGGCTGGCGTGCAATGGGGTGAGCTGAGGTCATGCCATTGCACTCCAGCCTGGGGGACAAGAGCGAAACTCCGTCTCCAAAAATAAAAACAACCGCAACAACAACAAAGGCCCATGGCTGAAAACAACGGAAATGTGTTGTCTCACAAGCCTGGATGCTAGAAGTCCAAAATGGAGGTGTCAGCCAAGCGCGCTCTTTGAAACCTGCTGGGGACAATCCTTCCTCGCCTCTTCTGGTTTCTGGTGGCTGCCAGCAATGCTTGGTGTTCCTCACAGACGACTCACTCCAATCCCTGCTCTCCCATCACATGACTGCCTTCTCCCTGTGTCCCTGTCTTCACCTGGCATTCTCCTATTTTATTTTTGAGATGGAGTTTCATTCTGTCACCCAGGCTGGAGTGTACTGGTATAATCTTGGCTCACTGCAAACTCTGCCTCCCTGGTTCAAGTGATTCTCCTGCCTCAGACTCCCCAGTAGCTGGGATTACAGGTACCTACCATCACCCACGGCTGCTTTGTGTATTTTTAGTAGAGACAGGGTTTCACCATGTTGACCAGGCTGGTCTCAAACCCCTGACCTCAAGTGATCCACTCACCTCAGCCTCCCAAAGCGCTGAGATTACAGGAATGAGTACCAGGCCCTCCTTGTCTTCTTTTATAAGGACACCAGTCATTTCATCTGCCCCCCTCCCTGCAGACCCCAATCCAGTATGACTCATCATTACTTGATTACATCTACAAAGCCCTATTTCCAAATAAGGTCACATTCCTGGATACCGAGGATTAAGATTTCCAATTTATCTTTTAGGGGATACAATTTTTTTTTGACAGGGCCTCACCCTGTCACCCAGGCTGGAGTACAGTGGTATGATTATAGCTCACTGCAGCCTCAAACTCCTGGGCTCAAGGGATCCCCTGACCTCAGCCTCCCAGGTAGCTGAGACTACATCACCATGCTCAACTAATTCTTTTATTTTTTGTACAGATTAGGTCTCACTCTGATGCCCAGCCTGGTCTCCTGACCTCTAGAGATCCTCTTGCAAAGCACTGGGATTACAGGCATTATCCCAAACCTGGCCCTCTTCCTACATCTCAATCAATGTATCATTAGCCTGAGCTGCCCTTATTCCTTATTCTGCCCATCCCTACCAATCTCCTATTTTAATAGCTTCCATCTCGATATCATGGGGCCTGCTGAGCACTGCAAACAGCCTAAGGACAGTGGAAACTTTACTTAACCTTAAATTCTATTACAAAGTCCACATTGAACGTAATTTATATTTGAACTATAAAAATTTTCTGTAAGTTGAAACATGACCTATAAAGGTCTCTACACCCTGAAGCAATGTTCTAGAAAGAAATCAATCGGTCCTTTTCCACAGCAACCATTTACCGTAGGAGAGATAAAGGAAAACTTCAATGTACTGATTCAACTTCCATGCCCACAGCTTAATTTCTAAAAGGCAGCCATTCCATACCGTTAAAATGCCTTCAGTTGTTATTACTCCTATTAAAGAAAGCCTCAAAGCCACAAGTTGAATCTTTACCATAGTTCTGGCACGTACACACCCACTCTTGCAGCTGAAACCAGATGGTCCTAATGCTGCTCTCCAGAGCAACACCACCTGGAATTTTACCTTTTGTTTTAAGCATCAGTCCTAATCTTCACTTGAACCTGAACACACCGCACCTGTGAGATCCACGTGACATTAAAAATCCCTTCGGCGCCTTGATCCTTGAAGGTTCAGATCCAAGATAGACGACCTTTCTACCTCTACAGGGCCCGCACACCAAGACAAAGATTTCTTCTCAGCCGGGTGCAGCGGCTCATGTCTGTAATCCCAGCACTTTGGGAGGCTGATGCAGGTGGATCTCCTGAGGTCAAGAGTTCCAGACCAGCCTGACCAACATGGAGAAACCCCCATCTCTGCTAAAAATACAAAAATAGCTGGACGTGGCAGTGGGTGCCTGTAATCCCAGCTCCTCGGGAGGATGAGGCAGGAGAATCACTTGAACCCAGGAGGCAGAGGTTTCGATGAGCCGAGATCATGCCATCACACTCCAGCCTGGGCCAAAAAAAGTGAAACTCGGTCTCAAAAAAAAAAAAAAGATTTCTTCTCTGTGCATGGCTCAGTTCTCTGGTCTGCTAGGGTCCTTCCTCAATCTGCTTCCCATCTATGGCGTCAGGAAAGCCTGAACCAGCCTAGATTTACTAATATTTTAGGGTAACATCATATAGTGTTACTTACTATGGCATTGACAGTATTCTGTCCCTTTGCTCCTTACAGGAAAGACAATTAATAGCTATTAAGTGAGTTAATAAAATAAGCCCAGGAATTATGCGTGTAACTAACCTGTTCCCATTGGTTGTCCTTGTCTCCTGCAGGCAGAGAGCTGATTAAAACAACAAAAGCAAGGCAGTGCCCCCAGCCCAGTTCTGAAGCCAACTTTCCTTAATCACCCAGACCCATCCCCGGTTAGGACTTGCTGTGGATTCTCAGGTGACTTCATCTCAGCATATAGGGACTGAGAGAGTGTATGCAACAACATCTCAGACTCAGAAACCCACAATTCTATCTAAAAACACAACGATAACCACATCCCACCCTCTTTATTTAAATGAAAGTGTTTGGGAAATAAAAGATAAACCTCTTTTTTTTCTTTGTCAGATCTTGCGCTCATTTGGTTCTGGTGGGGAACAACAGATATGAGAGAACAATCGTACCAATTAGAATTAATTCCCCTCTCATTCTCATAGCTGAGCAGGGCTCAAGTGCCTCTCATCTGAAAGAGGTAATAAGATTTAATCTGTCTCCTCATCTACCTCCTGAAAGTATATTTAACAAATTAGCTCTCAGGACTCTTCCAAACGGAGTTTTATGAGGGATTTGCTAAGGTAAACGTTTTTAGACTTTGAATGCAGTTCAGATTTCGGGGACAGTACTGAAATTTGAACTGTGTTGCTAACTGCCCTGCCTTTCAACTCAAGACACAATAACTTTAAACTAATTATGGGTTTTTGTTGCTGTTCTTTTCCACTCTGGCCCACTTCCCTACCACCCCCACCCCCATCCCAACCCGCAGGAGCTAGCTCCTCCTCTTCCCTCGGATTCCTCTCGGTGCAAGATCAACAATCCTCCTGGAAGCCCCCTACCTCTCTGTGCTCGCCTTCGTGGCAGACATTGCTATTGTACTTTTATATTTATTTGTGTGATAATTTCTTCAATGTCTACTTCTCCCACGAGCCCCTGGGCCCCTGGAGGGCCTGGACCACACCTGGTTTTTCTCACAGTTACATCTCCCTTGCCAGGCACATCGTAGGCACTTAATAAGTATTTGGTGAACAAATGGCTTGTTGAGTGACGCTCCAAAGGCTGGGGGACAGGGGTAATGCTCCCTCCCGCCGGGCCCCAGAGGACAGGTGCTGATGGGGAGAGGCTAGAATAAGGCCTCCCGGACCGAATCGCGCGCCCCTTTGGCCGCTGCCAAAAAGACCTTCCTGCAGACGCAGTATCTGCGAGAGTGATTACGTCGGCCCAAGGTCCGACCCGACGATCCCAGGGACCCTAGCCCTAACCGGCCCCGCCTCCCGGGGCCCAAAACGGGACTCGGCCCCGTCCAAAGCTCCTCATCCTGGGGCCCGACCACGGCCCCGCTCCCCGCACTGCCCCGAGCCCTCCCCAGGTAACACCTCACGAACTTGAGCCACACCCTAGACCCCTCGCTCATTCTCGGCCCCACCCCAACCCCCAGCTCCATCTCGGCCGCTGAGCCCGGCCCCGACACGCCTCCCAGGGCCTGGGCCCCACCCAACACCGGCCCCTTTCTAAGCTCCGCCTCCGAGGGGGGGGCGTAGCAGCGCCTGGCCACGCCCCAGAGTTCGCCTCAGTGCATACTGCAGCCGGGACTCGGTCCCGCCTCCCGGACCCTGGGCCCCTTCGCATGTTGGCCCATCCCTAAGCTCCGCCTCCCACATCACGAGCAGCGCCTGGCCACGCCCCAGGGCCCGCCTCCCGACCGCTGCCCGCAGCCAAGACTCAGCCCGGCCCTAAGCTCCGCCTCCCAGAGTCCGAGCAGCGCACGGCCACGTACTAAGACCTAGTCTACGCCCCGCCCCTTCCCCGCCTCCTGAGCCTTTCTAGAACTAAGTCTGCCCTTGACACCGTCCTAAGACCTGTCTACAGGGCTCTGCTCCGAGTCCCGCCTCCTGGATGCAATGATCATTTAGCCACGCCCTAATCCCCGCCTCCAGGACCTTCATCCTGGCCCCACTCAAGGCCCCGCCTCCAGGATGCCTCCAATTTGGACGCTTCCGAAGCCCCGCTTCCAGGATTCCCTTATCCTGGCCCAGCCTCAGGATCCGCCAAGCTGGTCTCTCCCGAGGACCCACCCTAACAACGTTTATCCCGGCCCGACTCCGGGCCCCGCCCTCAGACGCTCATCCTGGCCCCGCCCCAGTCCCGCCCTCATGTCGTTCATCCTGGCCCCACCTTCTCCCCTTCCTCCTCACGCTCATCCTGGCCTCGCCCCAAGGGCCCGCCCCCACGACGCTGGTCCGGGCCCGACCCCGGGCCCCGCCCTCAGACGCTCATCCTGGCCCCGCCCCAGTCCCCGCCTCTCGGCCCCCTTGTACTGCCCCGGGCCCGCCTTCTCTCTTCCCAGGGCTTCCGCCGGGTCTCCAGGCGACTCTGCGGCCGCGCCCCGGTGATGGCGGCCGAGGAGAGCACGGGGACCGAACTCCTGCTACGGAGTTTCGAGCGCCGCTTCCTGGCCGCGCGCGCACTGCGTTCCTTTCCCTGGCAGGTGGGCGGCGGGGCGCGCGAAGAGGCCCGCGGGGTGCGCGGGAGTCCAGGGGCAGACGGGACGGGTCTCTGTGCTGAAGCCCCCGGCGCTCCCGCCACGTGAGTGCCCGGGCCCCCGCCGGTCAGGGCCGCGCGTCCTGGTCCGGGTCCCCGGGGCCTCGCCGGAGCCGCTCGCACCCCTCCCGCCCCGCGAGCTGGCGGCGGAGGCCGGGGAGTCTCTACGGCCTTGAGGGTGGCAGACTCGGGCTCGGGGTCGGGGACAGTTCACGATCTTTTTCACTTTTTAAAGCCAGTGTCGTTCTGGTCACTGGGACACAGCTGCCCTCGCCCATTCTAAAATGTCAGTGCTCCCAGGACCGCGGGAAAGCACGTTCTCCTGAGTGCGGTGACCAGGTCACAGGCTCTCCCTCGTGCCTCAGCGTTCTCATCTGTATATCGAGCATTGCACAGAATCTGCCCAGGCGCTGAGGCTCTCACGCCTGTGATGGAAGAGACAGAGAAGGGGGTGGCCTCCCGTCGCCCTGGAGACCTTCCATTCTCACCACAGGTGCACGGCAGGCAGCAGCCTCTGTTCTGCCAACACAGGGTCTTAATGCACCCGGCCTCATTTGTAATTCACGTGCGGTGAGCTCACTGGGATGAGTCAGTTTGGATGTATATTCCTCCCTGGGTCGGCCCCATCTTATGGGGTGGTGCTTAATCATTTGTGTTATTCCATTGACCTAAAATATTTAGCACTCCGAGATCATTTCTGGTCTGGAGGAAAATGCGCGTTTCTAACCCAAATGGAAACCTTCATAACAACATCATAGGTCTCCACTCACTAATGACTTTAATTGTTCACATGCCCACACTGAATGCTAACTTAGGCTCACACTCGATACCCATGGGTACTATTATTTATCACTCACATTTGGCCAGAGGGATTGTTTAGAGTTCAGTAGTTGAGTTCAGACCCAGGAGACACAGCCTGCCTGCTTCAAATCCCGACCCTGTGTGGCCTTGGGCAAGTGACTGCACCTCTCTGTGCTGTTGTTTTAGTAAAATAGGGGATATTATGATACCTACCCTCTTAGGGTTGTTATCAGGGTTGAGTTCAAAAGCCTGCAGACCAGTGCCTAGCTCGTGGTAATTGCATGTCAGTGTTAGTGTTTTTATTCCATCTCCAGATGTTTAATAAATGCCTTCCATGAGCCAGGCCCGAGAGATCAGCAGTACCCATGACAGAGGAGGCTCTGCTTGCATAGGAGAGCCAGAGAATCAACAAATAAATGACTAAACAAGAAAACACCAGATGAGAGTGGCTTTAAAGCCAATAAAAGGAGATGGTGAATGGAGCAACTGGGGAGAAGAGTCACCAAAGCAGAGAAATCAGGGAAGGCTTCCCCAAAGAGGCGACATTTGAACCGCGGCCTGAGTGGTAAAGAAGCCGGCCATGGGAACGGCTTGGGGAGTAAGAGGATATGCAAAGGCCCTATGGTGGGAACAAGCCAGCTGTGGTTGAGGAACAGCAAGGGGGCCAATGTGGCTGCAGTGGAGTGAACAGGGATGGGCCAGCAGTGGGGAAGAACAGGTCCAAGAAGGGTACTGGGGCCAGGTCCTTGCTCTGTGTCACATACCGCTGAGAGAGTCTGCCGAACTCGGGAGCCTAAGCTCACTGCTGGGCTCCAGACCCCGGTATGAGGACAGCATAACCCAGGCTGCTATGGGCACATTCTCCATTTCCACTTTAACTCAGATGGCAAGCCCATCGAACCTTGGTGCCCTGGCTCCCCTGCTAATTCCTGACTGACCAGTGCAACCACAGAGCTGGCCTGTGACCCGGGTGGCAGCTAAGTAGCCAGGACTAATGGGACCAAGAGTCAGTCTTCTTGTGACTCAACCAGGTGCACCCTGCGACATCTGAAGGTCAGGCTTTCAGGTGCTGTGGCGTCCACTTCCAACTGGCTCCATGTCCCCAGGAAGAGATCACTTAGCGCTTCGCCAACACATTCTATTGTGTGTTTAATGTTCCTGTGAATACGCCCTTGAGATTTCTCTCTCTCTCCCCTCCACACAGAGCTTAGAAGCAAAATTAAGAGACTCATCAGATTCTGAGCTGCTGCGGGATATTTTGCAGAAGGTAAGAACCCCAGAGTTCCTGGGACTCATGACCCTGCCTCCTGACTCTCCCAGGAAGGCCTGCCAGAAGAACCACAGGTGTGCTTGTACCCTTTAAAAACACCCCTGTTCAAAGAACAGAACCATTGAGTCACCACTGCGGTGGGTGTCAGCACCTCCGACAGCTCCAGCTCTTTTGTTTTCTAAAGACATCAGAATATACAAAAATCTGCATGAGAGGAGGGAATCAAGGGAATGTTTTTTAAACCATCCACAAAAACAGAGATGACAGTTGCAAAACAGTTTCTAGCGTTTAGGCTCAGAGACTTCTTTTTTTCATTCATGAGGCCTGTCCTGCCCACTCCTGTCTCTCTTCTAGACCTAGACGGGCCCTTGCTTTGCCCAGGGTAGGTTTTGGACTCAAGTGCATCAGCGTGCAGGTGAGAGGCAGGATTGCCACCCAGCCGAGCCACAGGCACTGTGACTATCCCCTCCCTCTCCCTCCAGGCTCCTGTTTTGCCACCTGTCCTCACTCACGCTGCAGCAGTCCCTCTGCCCTCCCAGGTGCCAGGCCCTACGCCAGGCCACCTCGGACCCTGCACCGGCTGTTCCCACTATCTGGAACTCACTCATCCTACACTTGGCTTCTCTTGGCTTTAGCTGGAGTGTCATCCTGAGAGTCCCCTCCCCGCTGTCGTGTCCCCAGGGACACACACTCCAAGAGAGCAGGTGCTGAGTGGGCCTTCCCACCTCTTCCATGGAGCCAGACAGTCGGTGACTGTCCTTACTGCAAACTGTGGTTCACGCTGGCTCCCCTGGGAGGGAGGTCATTCGGACCCATATGCCCCGTGTTCTTGCTCCGAATCAGCATTAGAAATGCTGCCATGGCCTGCGCTGCTACAGGGGAAACATTTTTAGGAAACGGCTTTTATCTTAAGACAAACTTTCAGATGCAAGAGGGACCGCCTGGGGCCGGAATGCTGTGTCCATCCAGCATTCAGGATTGCTGAGGGATGGGGTACCCTGGAGTTTGGCCTCTGCTGTGTTTGCTTGAAGCTCACAGGAGGCTGAAGATGGATCTCCCCAGCAACCAATTCTGTCCTTTGCTAGACCGTGAAGCATCCTCTGTGTGTGAAGCACCCGCCATCAGTCAAGTATGCCTGGTGCTTTCTCTCAGGGCTCATCAAAAAGGTCAGTTAACAGGCAGTGTCTGCCCAGTAACCAGTGTGGCCACCAAGCAGGGACCTGGCTGGCTCCCAGGAAGGGTTCCCTCCAGCACCCTGTGTGCTGGAGCCCTGGTCCTTCCCAGGGGCTGCTTTCCAAACCCTGGCATGGCAGGGGCCTCCCCAGGCAACTGACTGCATCTGGGTGTGACCGATGGGAGGCAGCACAGGGCAGGCAGAAGGGGAGGCCAGGGTCTCTCTCTCCCTCACTCTGCCTCCTGGGGTTTCCAGAGCAGCTGCTGAGGTAGGAGAATTGCTTGAACCCAGGAGAGGGAGGTTGCAGTGAGCTGAGATTGCACCACTGCACTCCAGCCTGGGTGCACAGCAAGACTCCGTCTCAACAACAACAAAAGTGTACCATGCTGTTGCCCGTGAAGCGCAGGACGGGGCCAGCCATGGACAAGCAGCCTGCTGGCGGCCATGCCCTGCAGCGTGGGCCACCCTCCTCGTGACTCTGCCTGGGATCACTTAAAAGCACCTTTTAGCCGGGTGTGGTGGCTCACGCCTGTAACCCCAGCACTTTGGGAGGCCGAGGCAGGCAGATCACCTGAGGTCGGGAGTTCAAGACCAGCCTGACCGACATGGAGAAACCCTGTCTCTAGTAAAAACACAAAATTCGCCAGGCCTGGTGGCTTATGCCTGTAATCCCAGCTACTCAGGAGGCTGAGGCAGGAGAATCACTTGAACCCGGGAGGCGGAGGGTGCAGTGAGCTGAGATCACACCATTGCACTCCAGCCTGGGCGACAAGAGCGAAACTCCGTTTCCAAAAAAAAAAGCACCTTTTGTTTTCCTCCATCTGGAACCTTTGATCCAAACAGCTCTCTCCTCTGTCATTGTCACGTGGCGGCTCTCACTGAATCCTTGTCTCCAGCCCTAGATTACAGCTAACCCTGCCCTCTCAACACCTCTTACTGAAGGCCCGCCCATCCAGGTTTCCCTACCAACTGAACTATTTTTTACTTTTGGAGACAAGGTCTCTGTTCCCCAGGCTGTCCTTGAATTCCTAGGCTCAAGCAGTCCCCCCATGTCAGCCTCTAGAGTAGCTGGGACTGTCGGCCCACACTACCACACCCAGCAAAGTATTTTATATGCCAACTGGCCAGTGTTATGCCATTCCATCCCAAATCTCCCCTCCAAACTCGGTGAAAATCATCCGGCCATTTTTACAGATTAGAACGGAAGCCAACAAACTCTCACTCTGTCTGCCCCCAGCACGAGGCTGTCCACATGGAGCCTCTGGACGAGCTGTACGAGGCACTGGCGGAGATCCTGATGGCCAAGGAGTCCACCCAGGGCCACCGGAGCTATTTGCTGGTATGAGAAGGGCACCCTCCTCCCCGTCACAGGCCAGACGACACCCTTCCTGCACAGACAAGTGAAAACATGCGTAGGCTCAAATCCTGGCTCACCCATGCTACAGTCTTACACATGAGGTCCATTAAGCTCCTTCAGCCTCAGTTTCCCTGTCTGTAAATCTAGCATTTCAACAACAGCATCTGTCATGGGGATGTTGGGCATTTGTCCCATAGGTGCCACACACTACCTGCTTCACAAGGACCTTGTGCCACAGCCCCACAGGGTTGTGGGGTGTCCCCTATCACTGTGTTGAGTCACAGGATCCGAGAAATAAAGAGAAAGGACACAGAAGGACTGGAAAAGAGCAGCTGGGCTTGGGGTGGGCCACGCCACCTAGGAGTGGAGACAGGCGAGGCCCTGTATGTCCAGAATTGTCTGTATTCATTAGGTACAAGGCAGGGGGAAGGGTCGTCAGTGAGGTCATCTATAGACTTAGTGATAGGGCATACATAATCACGTGAGTAGCAAGCAAGGGGGCCACCCCATTAGGTCACCTAGAGAGGTGGGCCATGCACAGTAGTAGAGGGTCGTGTACAAAAAGGGGGTCCACCCCCATTAGCCCACCGAGGCAAGGAGGCGAGCTGTGCGCAACAATTGCCGTGCGCAACACTTCTTACCTGGGGGCGGGAGACGTCAAAGGACTCCTATAGAAGGATGCTGTAAACCAGTACAGTGGGAGCCAACAGCGTGCCCTTCTCTGAGACATCTCACAGGAGGAGGATTTGAGCCAGCACAGTAGCAAGAAAAGCTGACAGCGGACAGCCGCCATGGCGCGATTACACCAGAGGGGTTCTCCTCCCTCGGTTGTTTGCGGGATCTCAGGCCAGAGGTCTACTTTCCATAAGAACTAGATGCAAGGTACTGCCAACCCCTTTTCAGGGGGAATAACTCTCACTCCAAGCCGGCCATGCAGCGGGTACTGAGCGCTGCCGTCTAGGCTCTGACCTCTCATACAGCGTGTGCCCTTTCAGGCAGGGGCGCTACCGCCTGGGTCTTCGGTTCTTGTCCTGGCCTGGCTGTTTTCCCATGTACTGCTTCTGCTCTGTGACTGCTCTAGGCATTCCTCCTACTACAAACTACTATATGGTTATATAGAAGGATGATGTAAATCAGCACTAAATGTGTCAGTACAGCTCCGACTACAATCCGTTAAATGATTATATAGAAAGATTATATGGAACTAAGAATGATTATATATATATATAAGCTAGGTATAGTAAGTACTTACATGTATAAGTAAGCAGTAAGTTATATTTCAAGCACTAATTGTGCCTGAGGTCTCCACAGCTCTCCTTTCTCAATGCCCATTGGGGGGTTACCCACAGTGCCCAGTTCTCTAAGAACACTTGGCTGGGTGTGGTAGCTCACACCTGTAATCCCAGCACTTTGGGAGGCTGAGGCGAGCAGATCACGAGGTCAAGAGTTCAAGACCAGCCTGGCCAATATGGTCAAACCCCGTCTCTACTAAAAATAACAAAAATTAGCCAGGTGTGGTTGCGGGGCCTATAGTCCCAGGTACTCAGGAGGGGGAGGCTGCAGTGAACCCAGATCACGCCACTGCACTCCAGCCTGGGCAGCAGAGCGAATCTTCATCTCATTACAGGACAGCAGTTCCTTCTCACTCTCCTGGACAAACGCCGAGGCCTTCTAAACTGGTCTTCTGGCTTCTTGTCCCACAAAAATCCACACAGCACACAACAGCCAGAGGGACGTCTGTAATCCCAGCACCTTAGGAGGCTAAGGCAGGTGGATCACCTGAGGTCAGGAGTTCGAGACCAGCCTGGCCAACATGGTAAAATGCCATCTCCACTAAAAATACAAAAATTAGCTGGACATGGTGGCAGGCAGCTATAATCCCAGCTACTCCAGAAGCTGAGGCAGGAGAATTGCTTGAACCCGGAAGGGAGAAGTTGCAATGAGCTGAGATCGCACCACGGCACTTCAGCCTGGGTGACATAGCAAGACTCCATCTCAAAAAAAAGAAAAAGATATAAAACACAGATACAGACAACCACACAAAGGAAATACATAGCATACTGAAGCACTGCAAGGCGGTCACGACCCCATAGCCACACCTGGCTACTGAACTGGGCTCCACCACAATTCCTTCATCTCGGGAATGTTCGACGAATGGAATCCTGTGGTGTGTGGCCCCTTTCACACCACGTGATGCCCTTGAGACCCATGCAAGCTGTTGGCGTTCTCGTTGCCGAGCAGTGACTGGTCCCACCATGGTCTATTTGGCCATGTGGTGGATGGCTATTTGTCTTCCAAGCCGCTTGTCTTCTGATCGCTGGACTAATTCTCTCACCCTCTCTCGGCACAGCCCTCCGGAGGCTCAGTCACGCTCTCCGAGAGCACGGCTATCATCTCCCATGGCACCACGGGTCTGGTCACATGGGACGCCGCCCTCTACCTTGCAGAATGGGCCATCAAGAACCCGGCAGCCTTCACTCACAGGTGACCTCGGGGCACAGGACGGGACACCAAGGCAGGCTTGCCCTGGTGCAGTCGCAGACACGGTCCCCTTTCCTCCCACCAGGACTGTCCTAGAGCTTGGCAGTGGCGCCGGCCTCACAGGCCTGGCCATCTGCAAGATGTGCCATCCTCGGGCTTACATCTTCAGCGACTGTCACAGCCAGGTCCTCGAGCAGCTCCGAGGGAATATCCTTCTCAACGGCCTCTCGTTAGAGGCAGACATCACTGCCAACTCAGACAGCCCCAGGGTGACAGTGGCACAGCTGGACTGGGATGTCGCAACAGTCCCTCAGCTCTCTGCCTTCCAGCCAGACGTGGTCATCGCAGCAGGTAATGCCCAGCCCCAGGCACCCTACACAGGCGGTGTCCTCGCAGCTCCACCCAGCTCCAGGCTCTGGGAAGAGGGAACAGGGGACATTGTAGGGCATGGACATAAGGGGGCTTCCAGAAGAATCACTCTGGGCCTCCAGGGTGACATCAGAGGACAGGGGTGCCTGAGGATCACCTGAGGTTAAGAGTTCAAGACCAAGACCAGCCTGGCCAACATGGTAAAACCCTGTCTCTACTAAAAAATACAAAAATTGGCCAGCCAAGGGGTAGGCACCTGCAATCCCACCTAGTTGGGAGGCTGAGGCAGGAGAATTGCTTGAACCCAGGAAGTGGAAGTTGCAGTGAGCCAAGATCAAGCCATTGCACTCTAGCCTAGGTGACAGAGCAGGACTCCGTATCAAAAACAAACAAAACAAAAAGCCACAGCCTTCCTGTTGGAGACAGGCATACTCCCCTTACAGTCATTACCACATGGCTCCATCCCTGTGGCCCTGGCTGGCTCTGTCCCACAGCCATGCCCTGTGTCCTTCAGAGGCCACACCGGAGGAAAATAACCACTTCTGAGACAAGGTCAGGGCCCTTGAGAGAAGGTGGTGTTTGGCTGAGCCACCGAAAACCCCTCGCCCTGCCAGCGCACTCAGTCCCCTTTCTGGTCAAGCAGGGCTCTGCCTGTGGTCTTGGGTCCCAGCCCTGAAAACCACAGGCCCAGCAGTGGGCAGGGACACAGGCCCACCCCTGAAAGCCAGCAAACAAGAGCAGATGCCTGAAACACGAAGTCCATGGCAGAGTCAGGCTTTGCGTCATTCAAAGCCCTCTAGATAGGCTGAGAACCAGAGCTGGTTTGGTAAGGAACACCAGGAGTCTGGAGATTTTCTTCTTTTGCTTCGATCTTTTGCAGCTTTCTCTCCCAAGGGTTCTCCTTTTTCATCCAAGCAATTTCTTTTCCATCTAATGGCACAAATGGTCAAATGGCATCTCACGGTTTCCTATGACCGCTGACTCTCTGGCCTCACCCTGCTGCCGTGGTCAGCATGACCTGGAACTTTCCACCAGTCCTTTTCAGTAACCTGAAGCTTTTGCCATAGACGTGCTGTATTGCCCAGAGGCCATCGTGTCGCTGGTCGGGGTCCTACAGAGGCTGGCTGCCTGCTGCGAGCACCACCGGGCACCTGAGGTCTACGTGGCCTTCACCGTCCGAAATCCAGAGACATGCCAGCTGTTCACCACCGAGCTAGGTGAGCCCCCGCGCCTGCCTGGGCCTGCAGGGCCATGAGCTGTCCCTGGAGGACTCCAGTGGAAGAACTGGGCACTGAGGAATAGCTAGGATGCCCCACACCCCATGTCATGCAGGGAACTCGAGCGGAGGCCAGTGAGCAGGGAGGGCTTGGGGGATGGGTGGCTTGGGGCAGGAGGAAGGCAGCTCAGCACAGGGAGGGAGGGTCTGAGCCCAGCAGCCCTCCTGTGTGCTTCCAGAGCAGGCTTCCAGAAGCCCTTGGGCCTCGGTTTCCTCCTCTATCACATGGAGGTGGCGGGAGAGGCAGTCGGGGTCAGGGCTGGACAAGGCTGTGGCCGGCAGGACCCCAGAACACAGGCTGTGCAGGTGGATCCACCATGCCACTGTTCTGAGCACCCCATTGGTGGAAGACGGGCAGGGTGACTGTAGAGAAGGGGAACCGGTCCTGTCGTGGGCAGGCCCCTGTCCTCAGACCTGACATGTCATCGACAGCACCTGAGAGGGTGTGCTGTCCCTGTCTCATCTCACCTGCAGAAACACTAGGGCACACGGAGGCCAAGTGACCCCCGAGCTCCTCCAGACTGCAGCCAGGCCACCTGGCTCTCACACCTCCACACGACACCCATACCCCCCAGTGCCACCAGCCTTTGGCTCAGCCCTCCTCAGCAGAGCCCCTCCCGGCGGCCGAGTGCACAGATGCACCCGCAGCAGCCTCTGCCTGCACACAGAAACACGGACGACGCAGTCCCCACATCAGGCAACCGATTAACTACAGAGCCAGTGAACAAGTCGACACACGAGGCCACACTGGGCTCCACGACAGGGTTCTGCACAGCCTCGCACAGGAGGCCAGCCAGGCTCGGGGTGCAGGATGTCATCCTAGCACTTTAGAAGGCTGAGGCGGGAGGACTACTTGAACCCAGGAGTTCAAGACCAGCCTGGCCAACATAGTGGGACCCATCTTCACAAAACATATAGAAACTAGCTGGGCATGGTGGTGCATGCCTATAGCCCCAGCTACTTGGGAGGCTGAGGTGGGAAGATGGCTTGAGCCAGGAGGTGGAGGCTGAAGTGGGCCATGATATCACCACTGCACTCCAGCTTGTGCAACAAATCAAGACCCTATCTCAAAAATGGCGGAGGGAGGGGGGGCGGGGAAGGAAGTCTTTTCTTAGATACTTATATGAAAAAATACCTGCCATTTTTTTTTAAGTGAAAAACCAGTTCCAAATAGCACATATAAGCACCCCACACACTTTTTTTTTTTTTTTTGAGAAAGCCTGGCTCTGTCTTGCCTAGGCTGGAGTGCAGTGGTGCCATCTGGGCCCACTGCAACCTCCCACCTCCCAGGTTCAGGCCATCCTCCCAGATCAGCCTCCCAAGTAGCTGGAACTACAGGCGTGTGCCACAACGCTCAGCTAATTTTTGTGTTTTCTGTAGAGTCAGGGTTTTGCCAGGTTGGCCAGGCTGGTCTCGAACTCCAGACCTCAAGTGATCTGCCCACCGCAGCTTCCCAAAGTGCTAGGATTACAGGCATGAGCCACCGCACCCAGCCCCATTTTTGTTTAACAAATAATAATAAACAGCCACACATGGTGGTGAGTACCTGTATTCCCAACTACTCAGAAGGCCGAGGCAGGAGGATGGCTGAAGCCCAGGAGTTTGTGGCCACGAGCAATACAGCAAGACCGCATCTCAAAAAAACATTTATTACAATAACCGTCTCCACCTTAGTATAACTCTAGGGGAAAATCTAGAATACGGAGCACACTTGTCCAACCTGCAGCCCAACACAAATCTATAAACTTCCTCAGAACAGTATAAGGGTTCTTTTGTGATTTTTTTTTTTTTTTTAAATTTTAGCTCATCAGCTATTGCTAGTGTTAGTGTATTTTATATGTGGCCCAAGGCAATTCTTCCAGTGTGGCCCAGGGAAGCCAAATGATTGGCCATCCCTGATACACACCAGTTAACAGGTGCCATACTTGGACGGCAGGACTGTAGAGACTTCTGCACGTTTATGTCTACTGTATCATTTTTATAAATATGCATTTTCCATTTGTAACAAAAAACTATGATTGAAAACCATCCCAGGTCCAATGTCACATGCCTGTAATCCCAACACTGTAAGAGGCTGAGATTTTGGGAGGCTGAGGTGGGCAGATCACTTGGGGTCAAGAGTTCGAGACCATCCTGGCCAACATGGTGAAACTCTGTCTCCACTAAAAATACAAAAATTATCTGGGCGTGGCGATGCACACCTGTAATCCCAGCTACTCGGGAAGCTGAAGCAGGAGAATCACTTGAACCCAGGAGGTGGAGGTTGCAGTGAGCCAATATTGTACCACTGCACTCCAGCGTGGGCAACAAAGTGAAACTCTGTCTTGAAAAACAAAACGAGACTGAGGCAGGAGGATCACTTGAGGCCATGCTTTCAGGACCCCATCGAGTTTGGCATTGTGGCATGCACCTGTCGTCCCAGCTACTTGGGAGGTGGGAGGATTGCTTGAGCCCAGGAGTTGAGGCTGTGCTGAGCAATGACTGTGCCACTGCATTCCAGCCTAGGCGACAGAACAATTTCATACCTCAGAAAAAAAAAATCATTCTGGCTAATGGCTCTTCAGACATCTGTGCTTATGAGAACACCAACCCCTCCTAAGCTTTGTGGGGTTTTTTTTTTTGTTGTTTTTTGAGACAGAGTTTTGCTCTATCCAGGCTGGAGTACAATGGTACAATCTCAGCTCACTGCAACCTCTACCCCCTGGGTTCAAACGATTCTCCTGCTTCATTCCCCCAAGTAGCTGGGATTACACATACCCACCATCATGCCTGCATAATTTTTGTACTTTTAGTAGAGATGGGGTTTCACCATGTTGGCCAGGCTGATCTCAATCTCCTGTCCTCAGGTGATCTGCCCACCTTGGCCTACCAAACTGCTGGGATTATAGGCCTGAGCCACCGCGCCCGACTGCTTTCTAAGCTTTGTGAAGAGCAGGTAGTTGAGCAGCCAGCTAGATGCAGTTCAGATCTCTGCTTCTGTCCAGCTGTGCCAAGTGCCAGGGAGGACATGGGCAGAGAGTGGCACAGCATCTGCTGCCAGCCACTTCTACGCAAAACCAGATACCTGGTCCCACCCTGGAAGCCAATTCTAGGTAGCTGGGTGGGCCTGGGAACCAGTGAACCAAGTAAACCGACTTGGACACCATTCCCCCACCCCTCGCCAGGCCTGTCCTCGCAGCCCCACACAATAAACTCATGTCCTGGTCCCAAACACTGCCATACTGAAACACGTGCTCTGTTTGCAGGCCGGGCGGGGATCAGATGGGAAGTGGAACCTTGTCACGACCAGAAACTGTTTCCCTACGAAGAGCACTTGGAGATGGCAATTCTGAAACTCACACTGTAGGCCTCACGCACGCTTTCCAGCATGATTCTGGGAATCCAGTCGCTATTGGGGGAAGAATTTTTATATGGGGAAGTGGATAAAACTTTCATTGGACTGGAATGTCTGAAGAATATTAAATTCCAAATCGGAAACCACAGACTGCTTTCTAGTAAGATATCGGCTGTCTAAGTGTGTGTGTGCCCCCTTTCTGCCAGCAGTTCTAGTTCTTAAGAAAATCACGACAGGCCAGGCATAGTGGCTCAAGCCTGTAATCCCAGCACTTTGGGAGGCCAAGGCAGGTGGATCATGAGGTCAAGAGTTCAAGACCAGCCTGACCAACACTGTAAAAATCCCATCTCTACTAAAAATACAAAAAAAAAAAAAAAAAAAAAATAGCTGTGTGTGGTGGTGCATGCCTGCAATCCCAGCTACTCAGGATGCTGAGGCAGAAGAATTGCTTGAATCTGGGAGGCAGAGGTTGTTGCAATGAGCCGAGATCATGCCACTGCACTCCAGCCTGGATGACAGAGCAAGACTCCCTCTCAAAAGAAAGAAAATCACTGTAAATCAGACATGAAAATTCTGGCTCCAAGAAAAGCATTTTCTTTGTGCAAATAAAGACATGTGTATCAAGTATGATGTCCCCCAGTGTGGACACTCAGTTCCTCACAAAGCCACGCGTGCAGTAGCTGCCGTCTGTGGGCTTACCGTGCAGCGGGTGCTTGTTTTCAGCACAGGAATCAAGATGTTAGGCAGATAGGCAACATCTGGAGACCAAACGCAGGACGAGGAGTACTGCAGAGGTCACGGAGAAGTCACAGGACAGTAACACGCTAGCAGCTAGCAGGAGCGTGGGACATGAAGAACACAAGAGAGGAAGTGTTTCCGAGCCTCCAAAAATCAGGGCCAACCACAGCTTCCAGGGCCACGGAACCCCTTCATTCACCAAACTTCTGTCATTTCGGCTTCTGACCACTGGGAGGCGCTGCTCGAAAGGGTTTGCCCCGAGACTGGGAAGCAGCTGCAGGGAGGACAGCAGGGGTCGTGGAGTTTTAGCCTCTGGCCCAAGGGTCATGTGTCTGTAACCAAAGGGAGCACGGTCTGCACCCAGCTCTCGTCCCATCGGAGCTGCGCCGACTCCTGCAAGTTCTTCCGGAACAGGTTTAGCTTGCCCGCAGGATCAGGAAAGTTTGAGAAAAGCATCTGCAGAAAAAAAGAGCAGAACTTACCTCATCGCCTGTCCCCACCCCATCCCACATCACTGCCTGGCTGACCCCAGGTCTCTGACCCAGCAACACTCCCGCCCAAGTCCCTAATTCCCTCACCCTGACTCGAGGCCCTTCACGCCAGCAGTACTCTGTCTACAACTTGACATCCTGCTTTCTGGAAACTTCCCCGCATGTCCCACTTTCCCACACTCGGTGTCCTGGAGCACCTCCCAGCCTTTACATTCTGTGCCTTCCCCTTCGAGCACCCTCCTTTCGGCCTTTGGCCAACACAGTCCCACCCATCTGTGAGTAAGGAGGGGGTGTCGGTATTCTTTTCAGCCTTGCTAAACTGCCTGAATCAAGGATCACAAACTACAGCCTGTAGGCCAGATGCGGCCCACACCTGTGTTTGTAAATAAAGTTTTATTGGAACACAGCCATACCCCTTCATCTACAGATGGTCCATGGCTGCTTTCACACCACAACAGAGTCCCATGGTTCTGACAGAGACTGAGGACCCCAGCCTAAAAGACTTCCAACCTTTACAGAAAAAGCCTGCCACTCATTCTGTTGTCAAAAATGATGGTGTATTACTTTTTGCAATAAGAAACAAGTATCCTTTGCAGAATCTCACCCATCTTTCAAGGCTGGTCCCAGAAGCTCCCTTCACCCACCCACCTCCCTGATCCTGATCACTTCCTAAACTGCAACCCAGCCCACCCAACTCTGGCATCATTTGTGGAGGATCAGCTCTTGTAAACACAGAGGGCAGACAGGGGTGTGTCCTAACCCTCCCGAGCCTACTGTACTGAAACAGGACAGCACGGCAGGCGGGCCTCTATGACCTCTGCTCCCTCCCTGGCTTTTCTTCCCCACATGGTCCCACCCTGGCTCCGGGAAACAGGGATCAGGAAGCATGGCTTGGTGCCAGTCTCCAGAACTCTGCCCACCCAGGCATGGTGGCAGACGCGGCTACCTGCAGCTGAGCTGCCAGTTCCTCCGAGTCCTCGAAGACCAGGCCATTTTCGTCGTGTTTCACCAGCTCATGTAAACTGCAGAGAGAACCGAGGGGGCCTGAGAGCCGCCTGGAGAAGACACCAGACCCTGGGGTGCCCACCTGGGCTCCTACCGCACCCCACGCCCAGCCCAGACTAGGGGCTGGAACGGGGAGTTGGTTTCCTGGAGCTGATTCTGAGATCTGGCATCTGAAGGGTATAAAGGCCTGGGAGGGTGCACATCAAAATGTGCACCCATTTGAGGAGGGGGCCTTAAGAGAGGGTTTGCACCTTCTGTGCTGTACACTCTTCAAGGACTTCAGAATTATTTTTGCATTTTTTTCTTAACTCTATGTTCATAAAAAGGCAACCCCTGGGGATGTGCTCAGCACATAAAAGATGACTTTTCTTGGGCACTAGGTTTGATCCCGACATTCCCTGAGCTCAGCTCACACGAGGGGCTCACATCCCTTAATCCTGTCCAGGGACCGGCTCCTGGGCAGGGCCAAGGGCTCAGCTTGCACTGGGCTACTGCTTCTAGAATCCAACGCCACTCTTCCCTAATGCCCATCTGTGCTGAGTGGAGGGAGGCCACAGCATCATACTTAACTGAGTGAGCTTGGCCAAAAGGGACATGGGGAGAGAGAGAGAGAAAAAGGAAACCATGTCAGCTTGCAGGCAATTCCAGCCAATTCTACTCTAGGAGCAAAAGCCCTAAGTGGACGTCTAGTCTTGAAGATGCTTTTCTTCATATTAGGTTGGTGCAAAAGTAATTGCTTTTTTTTTTTTTTTTTTTTTTTTTTTTTTTTTTGGTGAGATGAAGTCTCGCTCTGTCACCAGGCTGGAGTCCAGTGGTGTAATTTCAGCTCACTGCAACCTCTGCCTCCCAGGTTCAAGCAATTCCCCTGCCTTAACCACCTGAGTAGCTGGTACTACAGGAGCGCACCACCATACTCAGCTAATTTTTTGTATTTTAGTAGAGATGGGGTTTCACCGTGTTGGCCAGGATGGTCTTGATCTCCTGACCTCGTCCTCAGCCTCCCAAAGTGCTGGGATTACAGGCATGAGCCACTGCACCTGGACAGTGATTGCCGTTTTTTTTTTAATTTTTTGAGATGGAGTCTTGCTCTGTCTCCAGGCTGGGGTGCATTAGCACAATCTCAGCTCACTGCAACCTCTGCCTCCCAGGGTCAAGCAATTCTCCTGCCTCAGCCTCCTGAGTAGCTGGAACTACAGGTGCACACCACCATGCCTGGCCACTAATTGCCTTTTTTTTTTTTTTTTTTTTTTTTTGAGATGGAGTTTCGCTCTTTACCCAGGCTGGAGTGCAATGGCGTGATCTTAGCTCACCGCAACTTCCGCCTCCTGGGTTCAAGCAATTCTCCTGCCTCAGCCTCCCGAGTAGCTGGGACTACAGGCGTGCGCCACCATGCTCAGCTAATTTTTTTTTGTATATTTAGTAGAGACGGGGTTTCACCATGTTGCTGACCAGGATGGTCTCAATCTCTTGACCTCGTGATCCACCCGCCTTGGCCTCCCAAAGTGCTGGGATTATAGGCATGAGCCACCGCGCCTGGCCAGTAATTGCCATTTTTAATGGCAAAAACCTCGATTACTTTTGCACCAACCTAAATATAACATGAGGTCTAAATGGAAGCCAATTATTTCAGTGAGGCTCAGCCCAACCCCAGTAACCGAAAGGCCTCCTGCTCATGACCTCCCATCTGTGCCGGATTGACCGAGGGGCAGTGCCTCACTGTGGGCAGCTCACTCTGCACTGGTGCCCCTGAGCAGTGAATCTGCCCAAGCTATCCCGAGAGACTCCGTGCTCCTACCACTTGAAGTTCACCGCACACACCGGCAGACAGCACCCGAACATGTCCACCACCTTCATGGGCAGGTCCAGGCCACTGGAGGACGTGTGCAGACAGACACCCAGGTCCGCCGAGCCTGCTAGGCAAGAGGGGTGCGGTCAGAGCGCTGGCATCTGCCCTGGGAACACAAATCCTCCCAGCACAGTGAGGTGATACCCCCCGAGGGGAGCGAAAATCAGATAAGGCCCCCGACAGCCCCAAACACAAGTGGCTTAAGCTGGTCAAGCAGCCGCACAACCTGGCTGGGACATCTGAAAACATAAGTTGACTCACTTTTTCTACATAATCACAATTTGTGGTTTTTGGTAGTTTTTTTTGGGGGGTTTTTTTTTTTTTTTGAGACAAAGAGTCTCGCTGTGCCACCCAGGCTGGAGTACAATGGCGCAATCTCAGCTCACTGCAACCTCCACCTTCCGAGTTCAAGTGATTCTCCTGCCTCAGCCTCCCAAGTAACTGGGATTACTGGGGCCCGCCACCACACCCGGCTAATTTTTGTATTTTTAGTAGAGGCAGGGTTTCACCAAGTTGGCCAGGCTGGTCTCCCAACTCCTGACCTCAGGTGATCCGCCCACCTCGGCCTCCCCAGGTGCTGGGATTCCAGGCATGAGCCACCACGCCCGGCCACACCATTTATGTTAAAAGGACTCCTGGCAGTTATTGCTTAATAGATACAGAGTTTCTGCTGGGGTGATGGGAAGGTTCTGGACATGGATGGTGGTGATGGCCGCACAACACTGCAAACGTAATGAATGCCACTGAGCTGTACACTTAAAAATGGTTAAAACAACACATGTTGTTATATTTTTTACCATAATAATAATAGGCAGGGACCAGGGGCTCACACCTAATCCTAGAACTTTGGGAGGCTGAGGCAGGCAGATCACTTGAGGTCAGGAGTTCAAGACTAGCCTGGCCAACATCGTGAAACCCCATCTCTACTAAAAAAAAATACGAAATTTGCCGAGGCTCATGTCAGGCACCTGTAATCCCGGCTACTCAGGAAGGTGAGGCTGGAGAATAGCTTGAACCCAGGAAGGCGGAGGTTGTAGTGTGCCAAGATCGTGCCATTGCACTCCAGCCTGGGCAACGAGACCGAAACTCCCATCTCAAAATGACATAATTCACAGCACATCCACCATGAACCAGCTGTCACTATGAAAACAAAGCCAAATAGCTTGATGTTTCTAAAGACTAGCTGGGGCCAGGCACGGTGGCTCACGCCTGGAATCCCAGCACTTTGGGAGGCCAAGGATGTTTCTAAAGACTAGCTGGGGCCAGGCACGGTGGCTCACGCCTGGAATCCCAGCACTTTGGGAGGCCAAGGTGGGAGGATCCCTTGAGGTCACAAGTTCGAGATCAGCCTAGCCAACATAGTGAAACCCTGTCTCTACTAAAAATACAAGAATAAGCCGGGCATTGTGGTGGACTCCTGTAATCCCAGCTACTCAAGAGGCTGAGGCAGGAGAATCACTTGAACCCAGGAGGCGGAGGTTACAGTGAGCTGAGATCGTGCCACTGCACTCCAGCATGGGCAACACAGCAAGACTCTTTCAAAAAAAAAAAAAAAAGAAAAAGAAAAAGACTAGCTAGAGAGTTCTGCCAGGCAAAGGCCCTCAGCTCCTGATTGCTCTACTCATTCCAGGCTGGAAGATGCGGCTTGGCTCTACAGACACACCCGGACCAAGCCACACTACCCCCCTCGGAGAAATTAACAGGGAAAGAGACTGAGGCGAGGGAGAACCACTCACCAGGAGAGGCAACGCTGTTGGACACACTGTCCCTGTACCTCCCAAAACCATTGCCCGCCCACACCTGGGTAACAGTGGCCCCAACCCCAGGCCCAGCCCTCCTTCGGGAAGGAAGAGGACTGAATGGAGGGCGTGCCAGGCTGAAAGGAGGCGGCGTCCTCAAGCCCCTTGGTAAACAGCCTCTGGGGCCACCTGGCAGGGAGAGGCTGGCACACCAGGAAGTAGCCTCCTCCAGGGAGTTCAGCCAGAGGTCTCGGCAGCAGGCCAGGCCCCGTCCCTGTCCCTATCCCCAGGTGGCTTCCAGAGTAACCTTTTCAGAAAGTCTACCCTGCCCACACCTGTTCTGCACCCTTAAGGCCCCACTTCCTCCCTGAGCCTCCTGCAGGCCTCTCACCTAGAAGCAGGGGGTAGTCCTCGGCTTCCAGCCAGGGGGTGCAGACCTGGATGTTCTGGAAACGCTTCTGGCGGATGAGGCAGCTATAATACTCCCTCAGCGGCCCTTTGCCTTCACAGAGAAGAATAGACATTGCCACGGACCCGTTTCTGTCCCTACCACATGGCCCCAGGCCCAAGACTGTCCCCCTAGGAGTGAGGGACCCCTTTCCCAGAAGCCCCACCCCTCGGCAGCTCTAGTCAGGGCCTATCCGGGACGTTCCAGAAGTAACGCAGGAGGCCCAAGACCCGCAGGGGTGTGCACCCTGACCCCTGAGGCGCAGTCCTGCACCTGCAGCCAGCTGGCCTCGGGCTGCAAACGTGGCGGGGGAAGCACTGGCCTGGCACTGGAGCACCCATTAAGTGGACCCGGGCTTTTGTCTGTGTTGTG